GCTAGCGGGGTCTCAGCCACCATGATGCAGAATGTTGGAACTCAACTGCGGAAGGTATGGAGGGGGGGCCGGGTGGGTTGGCGGCAAAGGGGAGGGGGTGATCTGGGGATCCCGAAAGAGAAGTGAAGTTTCCATTTTAAGTCAGAAGTTCTACGTCTCCTCTCTCATTTTCCACGGGCCGTTTTCTAACTCTCTTTTGGAAGGAGAAATCGCAGGACCCTGGGCTGCCTTATTATAAGCCACACTTCCCACACAAGCCCCAGGGCGGTCAGCTCCCCAAGGCAGGCTGTGCTGACAGCAATCATGTTCCGTATGTTCTTTGTGTCTGCGATTCTATGGTGTGTGTGTGTGTGTGTGTGTGTGTGTGTGTGTTTCTCCCCGCAGAGGTCTGTGTGGGTTTCTGCAGGACACACGAGCTCTGTGGCTGTGTGGTCTCAGAGTTCAGGGCTCAAAGGCGACGTTACAGGGTTTGGGTGTGTGGGCCAGTGCGACAGGGTGAAGCCAGAGTTTTTGGGGAGCTAAAAGCTCTTGGGAGAGCAAGTGCAGGACCAAGTGACACGCGTCCTGCAAGGTGACCTCGCAAACGTTTCCCCGGGAACCTCTTAACAGGGACTTTGGAGCTGAGATTAGATGCGGAGGCACGAGACAGACCCAGTGCTCAGCGGGCGTTTGATCTGGGGAACAGAGGAGGGGTTCAGGACACACTGGCAAAGGTTGTGCTGGGCGTGGAGTGGGTGGCCCCCGAGGATGTTTTCAGGAAAAGCCTTTTTAAAAGGGGCGGACGCAAGTAAAGAAATCTCTCATCCACCCCCTCCCTCCATCCACATGGTCACCACTGAGCTCGGACTCCGTGCAGCCTCCTCCCTGGCTCCCGTCTCACATCCAGCCCCCTCCAACCCACCTGCCCCTAGAGGGATGCTTCTACAAAGTAAATGTGATTATTTCCTCACCTTCTCAGATGGCTGCCCTTCAGCATAATGTTCACATTCCCTCACTTGATACCAAAGGATTGGGCAATGTGCTCTGCCCACCTCTCCCTCCTCCTTTCACCCTGCCCTCCCCTCTGCATCTAGGATGGGGGCCACCCTGCACTGCTTGCTCTGCCTCCGTATACCAACTTAGTTCTCTCCTCGCTCTGTCGTACATCCTGTACTTTCTGCTAGAGTGACCCCAGCCTCCCCTCGCCCCCTGCTAACTTGTTTCCCGGGAAAGGTGCTTTTGAGCCCTCAGATCTCAGCTCAGATGCTGCCTCCTCCGAAAAGCCTTCCCAGATTTCTCTCAGCACAGCGAGCCTCTGTGTTCGTCCCTTCTCACCCTGGACTGTGTGGTGGACTTGCATGTAAATCTCTTCCATCAGCCAGTGAGTTCCCCAAGGCTGCTCTCGGTGAGCCTGGCACAGTGTTGGGCAGGGCCAAAGCCCCAGGGCAGAGAGCACAGGGCAGAGAGCATCTTCCAGGTGGGTGGGGCTGTCTGTGTTTATGTCCCATCATCTTTAACTCTTCTCCCATTGATTTGACTCTTTCCCCATTATCCTTATCAGTAACCCGGGAGAAGGCAGCCGGGGAGGGGCGTATCACTGCGACCATTTTGCGAAGATAACAATATCCTATTCTAGCACAATTCCTTACCTAGCGCTGACCATGCTAGGCACCAGACCAGGCATAAATTAACCCCTTCAGCTCTCTGGGAGGCTGGTAAAGCTGTCATCCCCATATCCCAGGTGAGGAAACGGGCGCAGGGAAGTTGAGTGATTTGCCCAGGATCACACTGGTAGGAAGGGGCAGAGCTGAGATTTGAACACAAACTCAAATTTGGCTCCAGAGTTTGAGCTCTTAAGAACCTGAGGCTCAGCCCGATGAAAGCCCAGCGTGGGATTCCAACCCACACATCCTGACTCGGCGCCCAGGGCATTCCTCTTCTTCACAGTCCCCACCCACACTGAGCCGGGGAGTGGAGCTGGCTGTGGGGCGTGGAAGTTGGACCTGCAAGGTGACACGGGTGACCTCGTGCCGGCCGAGAACACGCTGGCCTGGATTGCCACCTTTGAACCATTGCCTACATGGCAGATCTCCTTGGACTCCCTTATTCCCTCCTGAATTCCCTAAGTTCCCTAGGAATACAGGAGAGTTGGGGACTGTTTTCTGGGCTGTTATCAAAGCCATCCTATATAATAAAAGGCTAATATGCAAATAGACCAAATGGCAGAACAACTGAACAACCAAACAACTGAACAACTGGTCACTATGACGTGTGCTGACCACCGGGGGGCGTGCGTGGAACATGGTGGGCGTCGGCCATGGCAGGATGGTGGAGCAGGTGAGCGGGGGTGCCAGACCAAGGCGGGGCGCTGGTTGTTGTCATTGGAGCGGGCCTCTAGTGGTTACTGAAAATTCTTTGCTCCTGAGCGTCACAGTCCCACCTGGCACTCGCACCTGCTGCTGGTGCTGGCACTGCTTGCACCTGTTGCCGGCGCTGGAGCCACCTCTTGCACCTGCTGCCAGTGCCTGGCACTGGTCCTGATTGCCCCTCAAGGCTTCTCCACCTCCCTGTGCTCCTGAGAGGTGATCAGGGCAGCAGCCGCTGCTCCCACTCGCGGACAGCGCTGTCCCCGCTTGCACCCACTGCTGGTCCCGGCCCCAGTCACTCTGCACCATCAGTGGATGCGAGTGGGGTGGCAGTGGAAGCGGGGCTACAGGCAGACAGGGGACGGGGCCATGGTGGGAGGGGCCAAGACCTGCCTCCTGTGCTCACTGCAGCCTCACAGCCCACAGTTTGTTTCAAGGTGCACGAATTCGTGCACTGGGCCCCTAGTTTTTAATGAAAAGCAAGCAAACCAACCCCTCCTCCCTGCCCAGCTCTCTTCACTGGGGACTAAAGAAAGCCATGTTAAATTGCGAATAAAAGGGAGGCTTCACATCACAGGGGTGGCGACCCTTGTCAGTATCTCGTGGCTCTGCAGATAGCGGGCATTGTGGAGTTGGAATGTTCTGGCTCTTACCCACCACTGGGTACTCAGCAAGCACTCTGCACGGTGAAGGAGGGAAGAAGGGAGAGAGGGCGTTAGGGAGGGAGTGACTGAATGAGGGAGGTGGTGAGTCTGCTGCCGAGCTGGGGCAGGGGTCTGGAGGAGCACTGAGTGTCTGTCCAGTGGTGCTGGAAAGGTCCCTCTGTCCTCCTGTCTCCCATCCAGGGGTCAAGGGTCAGCCTACACTGGACACTGGGCTGGTAGGGACCTGCTGGCAGCTCAGTGGGAGGCTGGGTATCCCTGCTCAGCATGCGTTCTAGCCTGACTCAGGTGGGGCCCAGGACTTTATTTACTGTGGGAACAGCTCCGCTGTTTGTCCAGTTCCTCTGAGAAGCCCTGTGCTGGTGGTGCTGCTGACATGAACCCACAGACCTACATGCTGTTCCCCATACCCTGTGGCGACCCACTGCTTCACCTTGAACCCGAGGAAGCTGGAGGTGCACCTCCCCACTCCCAAGCTCCAGCCGCATTAGGGGATCTAGTTCAGATATGGGGAGGCTTAGGGTACAACATTTGATCACCCTGGATTCGTTTATCTTCACCCCTTTGCTCTCATATAACCTTGGACCAGGTGTTCCCCATCTCCGGGTGTCCCTGAGGTCCCCACCAGCCTTGACATCCTAGGGTCTGGATGTTTGTGAAGGGTTTGTGCATCACCTTGAGGTTGGTCCTGACAATGAATGGCAGGGGTCATCTGATTAAGGAGCCCCCCCCCGCCCCCGCCCCGTGTGGGGTTGGAAGGGAGAACCATAGACATAAAATGACATGCCCATTATATGTAGGAGTGCAAAAACTACTGAAAGAATGAGTGACAGTGGGAGCTCAGAAGCAGGCTGAAGTGGTCCCAGAAGGCTTCCTGGAGGAAGAGGCAAGGCTCAGACACAGCTTCAGCCTATTTAGGAGCCACATTTGAACCTCAGTCTCAGCCATGGGCAGATACCCTTAGCTTTCTTAGTCTGTCCTGGAGGACTCTTTATCTTTTAAAACCCAGCTTGGCCATCATTTCCCATTCCAATTCCCATCCTGCCTGCTCCCAGAACTAATGGCATTTCCTTAGGATGTTTTCCTGACTTCAGTTGTTCCCTCCACAGGATTAGCATGTGTCAGGTGCTGAGTACACTGGGATGAACCCAGGCTGTCGTGTGGAGCTACAGCTAATGAGGGAGACCAAGTGAAATGGTAGTCAAAGAAATACAGAAGGAAAATCTGTGCTAAGTGCTGTGAATAATAACAGTAGGATGAGTGTCACATAAGTGCTAGCTATGTGCCAAGCATGCCTGAACTCAGTCATTCCTTATAACAGCTCGGCAGTAGGTAATAGCTTTGTGCCAGTATTAAAGATGAAACTGAGACAGAGAGGTTAAGTAACTTGCCCAAGGTCACACAGCCAGTAAGTGGCACTGCTGAGATTAAACTCGGGCTGTCTGGAGAACAGAGAACAGGAGAGAATAATGAGAGAGGGCAGGAGCTCTCTGAGCAGGTGATAACTGGGTGAAACCTTGCAGTTGAGAAGGAGGCAGCTGTGGGAGGAACTGGGGGAAGAGCATTCCAGGCAGAGGGAACAGCATTCATCTGCAGGCTCCAAGTGGGGAGGGGGGGATGGAGCTTGGTGCATCTGAGCAGCTGAATGAGGCCAGTGAGGCTTGGAGTGGAGTGAGTGAGGGCAGCACAGCTGGAGGGGCTGAGACGCGGCTGCCACATAGCAGGCTGGGGGGCTAGGCCCTGTTTTGAGGTCTGGAATACCCTGGGTTGTATAGTCCTGCCCACCAGACCATGCGCTCCTTGAGGACTCCCTGGCCCCACCAGGCTTGGTGCCACGGTACGCAGTCCTTGCACACCGGGCTCAGGGACCAAGGCAGCCCATCCTCACGGTTCTCCTCTGAATGGCCAGCACCCTATGGGTCCCAGCCGCCGTCCCATCCACCCCTGCTGCTCACAATACGTAGTTGGGCAAGAAGTGAGGTGATGTGCTTGGGCTTGCATGGCTGGCGAGGGACTCAGAACCTCTACCAATGAGGCTGGGACCCTT